GATTAGATTTATAATTTTTTAGATAAAATCGGTATTAGAATATGTTTAATTTTTATTTGATTATTAGCTTTTTTTAAAACTAAATGAGTTAAAATTTGATACCATTAAAAAATAATTATAACTAATTATATATTGACAAAAAAGTGAAATTTTAATTTTAATCAAATCAAAATAATCTTTTTATCTTGTACCATATCTCTTAGTCGTAGGTTTAGGCATTGGTAACAAGCAAACACAACATCAAACATAATATCTTGTACCGAACGAAATATGTAAGTGTGAAATACATTTTTTTTAATGAAATACATATATATTTTTTTTATTGGACTCTCATCTATATTTAGAGTTTGTTGGGTCTTTATTATTTTTGTCATATTATATTGTATTATATTATGTCTATTCTAATATAATGTACTATATTGTATGATTAAATGCATCAAATTATTTTATTGTAATGCAAGTAAATTATTTGTTTGTATTCCGTAATACCTAATTATTGTTAGCCATTTGGGTGTACTCCACCCATTTGCTAGAACCAATGTAATCATAGGCATATGTAAAATGAGTGATCTCGAGAGAAAATTAAATCACCTGGATTACAAAGTCTCTTCACTAAAAATATAATAAATGAACTATAATGAAGTAGAGAATCGTCAAAACAAACCTAGTTTGTATCTTCTAAACCTTTTAATATATGGTTTACTATGATCATATATTCATCAAAACGGCAAAAAAAAAAAAGCGAGAGAATTAATTAAGGCCTACTTATAGTAAACTAATAATTGAGACTAATGCGAGTGCAATGATCACGATTGAGATTTTGAGTATATCTCGCTCAACCTACACATTGCATAGGCTATGTTAGGTCTTAAAAAGTTCATTAAATGCATCGGACTCCTACTAATCCGAGCATACTCTTGTTGAGCAACACTATCTCCTATATTTGCCTTTGATTAGGTGTTTACATCATAAGGAGTACTCAAAGAGGTCACATCGAAGTGTACAAACTTCTTAAAACATTTCTTAACATAATGTTACTGCGTCAATATTGTCCCATTATCATTTCTTATGATTTTAACACCCAAAATGACATTAGCTTCATCCATATCTTTCATATCAAATTTAGAAGCTAAAAACTGTTTAGTTCTAAGTACTATTTTGAGACTAATGCTAAATATTAACATATCATCCATATACAAACAAATGATTACTCATTCATTGTCCATAAATTTTGTATAAAAACATTTATCCACTCTAACATTAGTAAACCATCACTCAATATTACTTAATTAAACTTCTCATGCCATTGTTTAGGTGCTTGCTTTAAGCCATACAATGACTTAAGTAACTTACAAACTTTATTTTCTTGACCATGACCCACATGACCCTCATGTTGTTTCATGTAAATCTTTTCTTCTAAATCGCCATTCAATAAGGAAGTTTTAACATCTATTTGATGTATAAAAAGTCTATGAATGGAAGCCAAAGCTATTAAAACTAGTATAGAAGAGATTCTAGTGATAGGAGCAAAAGTCTAAAAATAATCCAGATTTTGTTTTTGTGTAAAACCTTTTGCAAAAAGTCTAGTTTTATATTTTTCAATAGTACCATCAAGGTTAAATTTTCTTTTGAAAATCCATTTGCAACCAATAGGTTTTACTTTTGGAGGTAAATCAATTAAAACCCAAGTTTTATTTTATAAAATAGAATCAATTTTATTTTTAATAGCTTATTTCTAAAAATGTGAATCGAAGAAGAGATTACTTTAGAATAAGTCAAAGGGTCATTATTAATAAGATAAGTGTAGAAATCATTAAAACTCTTTTCTTAGCCTCTTACTCGCTTCTCATGATAACATCAAAAGTCTCATTTCCACTTCTAATAGTAGGTGTATGCGAAATTTTCTCGGATTGTGAAAAAATATGTTAAAAAACTCGGCATTCTTTGTTTCAATAATGGTGTTACAATCAAGAACATCACTTTTCAATACTAGAAATCTATATGCGGTACTATTTTGAGCATAATCAATGAACATACAATCAAACATTTTTTACCCAATTTTCTTTTTCTTAGGATTGAGAAGCATAACCTTGGCAAGACAATCTCAAACGTTCAAATATTTCAAATTAGGAGAATGCCCTTTCCATAGTTCATATGAAGTCTTAACATTTTTCTTATAAAGAATTCTATTTGGCAAATGACATGCGGATAGAATTGTTTCATCCCATAAATTAGTAGGTGCAAAAGAACTAACAAGCATAACATTCATTATTTTCTTCAAAGTTTTATTTTCTTTTAACTATACCATTAGATTGAAGAGAATAAGGAGGGGTAACTTCATGAATTATTCCTTCCTTTCACAAAAATCATCAAACATCAAATATTCACCATCTCTATCTGATCTAACTCTTTTAATCTTCCTACTAAGTTGATTTTCTACCTCGGCTTTATACAACATAAACATGTTAAAAGCTTTATCTTTATTTCTTAACAAATATATTTTTGCATATCTAGAATAATCATATATAAATGTGATATAATATCTCTTACCCCCTTTAGTCATAGTTTGTTTTAAGTCTCCTAAATCGAGTGAATTAAACTAAGTAGTTCGGATTCTCTATATACGAGTGCATAAGTTTTTGTAGTAGATTTTGTTTCAACACAAATAACACATTTATCCATATAAAAGTTAGCACTAGATATCAAACCAATGGATTGCATTGTTTGGCTATAGGAAACACTAACATATCCTCGTCTAACACGTCATAAATCATCAAAGTCAATCAAGTAAGTAGAAGAAGATGCATTATTCTCATTCATAATGAAATCAACATTAAGCATAAAGAGGCTCCGACTAAGATAAATTTTTTCCCATAAAAAAAATTATTTTTGGTCATAACAATTTTGTTAGATTCAAGTAAGACTTTAACCTCATTCTTTCCCAACAAAGCCACGAAACAAGATTTTCTCTAATCGTTGGAACATGCAACACCTCATTCAAGGCTAAAGGCTTGTCCGAAGTGAGCTTCAATTGGACTTTGTCCTTTCTTAAAACCTTCACAATGTGGGATTCTCCAAGGTAGACCATTTCTTCTTCGTCCCCTATAAGAGTGTAAGAGGAGAACACACTTCTATTTGTATAATAAGTCTAGAAGCCCTAGAGTCTACCACCCAGTTTCTCATATTTGCCACAAGATTGAATTGAGAAATTACAATAGCAATTATCTCATCTCCACCTATAAGATTACCTCGAGAGGATTCTCATTTCTCATTCTCCTTATGTATCGAGCTGAATGATGGCTAGGATTCCCACAAACAAAGCAATTACCTTTCTTTTTAAAGATAGGGTTAGCAAACTTAGGCTTATAGTTAGTTTTTTTATGAGTGTACCTCTTGTTTTGAGACTTAACTTGTAGTAGGTTTGCCTTTTAAGCTAATTCCTTAGCCTTGGAAATTCGAACCTCTTTTCAATTGGTATCTTCAATTATTATATGAGTGATTAATTCAAGAAGAGATAATTGCTTTTGCTTATGCTTTAGCAAGTTCTTGTCATCACTCCAAGAGTTCGACAACTTTTCAATCAATAGCCCAACCACAAAGTCTTTTAATAAGGTGATGTTTTTTACCTTTAGGTCTTCAAGTAGCTTGTGATATTCATTGATTTGAGCCTTGATATCTTTTTAATTTGTCATCTCCTATTTGTAAAAGTTTCCAATTACAAAACTTTGTTCGCCAGACATCTTTAGTAGTGTACTTGATAACTATTGACACTAAAATTGTTTTCGCCTCCTTATGAGTGCGATAAACATCGAACAAGTTATTAGATAATGTACCGATTATAATGTGCCTACATATCTTGTTGACATGAATCCATGCTTCGCATTTGCATTAGTTTTGAGGTTGGATAATGCCCAAGCCATAACATGCATGTCGAGGATGGAGTAAATGCATTCGTGCCATCTCTTGAAGTTTTGACCACCAAAGACTTTTATTTTAGAGATGTCAAGAAATGGTTTGGCAAACGACATTGCTGAAATCAAAGGTATAACGATTATAGAGACTCTACTATGGGTTGCAGTAGGTTCCGTTTCGGCTTTAGGTAGAGAAGAATTCCCGACATTAGCAGCAACAACATGAACAATGGTGGCGAAGCGGTGTTGGTGGCGACAATAGCGGCGATAGCGATAACATCATCCATAACAACGATCTAATATCCTTAAGATTGTTGTATAAAAATAAAAAAACTAGCCAAAGGGCAGCTATGGTTAGAGTTGTGTAATCATTGTGCTCAAGGATATTATTTTGTATCTCTCAAGATAAAACCAACCCTTTTGAAACTAAATCGGGAGCGTAAACAACAAAAATAAAGAGAACCTAACAAAGAACTATGAAGTAGAGAGGATTTTTTGGTGTGCCTTAATACCGGCAGCAGAGGCTAACTTAGACCGATTTGATGAGAGGAAGGTGGGGATAATGGTGGAGCAAAATGCGAGAATACCATAAAAAATTTAGGCTGATAAATGGTCATAATGGACATGGTCCATGGCAGCAAAAATAGGAGTTATCTTAAATAAGTTCGGGTTTAGGCCAAAAAATTTAAATGGGCGAGCTAAAGAAAGAGTTTGGATTGGGCCTTGTTATTGTGTGCGGGGGTAAATGGGCTGTTTTACCTTAGCTTGGCTCGGCTCGTAACCATTTTGCATTCTTTTTACAAGCTAATAATACACTTCTCTTAATAAAGTGTTATCTCATGCTTCTTCTTTAGCAAAATGGGATGAAAGGTTTTGACAACCTTTTGAAATATTAACAACATTCTTTGGGTGCATCAACATGTTATGTTGTCTCTGATGCCACATTTGCCTAAGAAATCTTGAAAACCAATGAACTCAATTTTTTATTTCTCGCCCAGAATTTGATACCTCGGATTACAACATACACAAGGGTCTGGTTTTCTTGCTGCAAAATATGACACGTATTGGCGATTCATGAAGAAGCTGTGGATGACCAGGCTTCTTTCTACTTCACAGCTTAATCAGCTTGCCCACATTAGAGAGCAAGAGGTGATGAAACTTATGGAATCATTAATTAATATTTCTAGAGAAGGTGAAGTTTATGATTTGAAGCCACTGCTAACAGCATTGACAAATAATATTGTTTGTAGAATGGGTATGAGCATAAGATGCTCGGAGAATGCTGATGAAGCTAAGGAAGTGATCAAAGATTTGGCTGATGAAGTTTCAGAGCTTGGAGGCAAGTTAACTGTAGGTAATATCTTAGGCCTTCTGGTCATGCTTGACCTATTTGGTCACGGAAGCAACTTCAAAATGCATTAGAAAAATTTGATCGGAAGATGGAGAGGATCATTAAGGAGCATGAAAAGAAGAAGGACATGAAAGGCAATGTTGAAGGACAGGGGAGTAATGATTTGATGGATATCCTATTAGAAATTTCAAGAGACTCAAATGCTGAAATGAAGTCAACCACCAAGGAAATCAAGGCGTTCTTCCTAGTAAGTTATTTTGAACTTAATAACAATATATTTTTAGGGCAAGCTCCCTATGGATAAAATGTCTTTGGAAATTACAAAAGTAAAATGTTAATCGAGCTCTTTGCTAAGGATATTCAATAGGGTTAATAATTTTGGATTGAGATCCTCCATTTTATGATGGCTTGATAATCAATGAAAATAAAATTTAAAACAATATAACTTTATATATTTGAAAACCTAACAACATTATTCATATTTTTTTATAGCAAATCAATGGTGTAAATTGAGCTTGACATGGTATATATCATGTTAATTAACTTGAGCACGAAGAAATCCAAATCCATTAATTTAATCTATAAGATATACTTTTTGTTTAGAGGTGAAAAATGAAAATAGGTCCTTGTTTTCAGTAATTATGGAAAATACTTGGTTAAAATTGTGAAAGTAGTTAATTTTATTTTTTAAGATTTTTAAATGCTACCAAATTCTAATGTAAATAATTGCCAGCTTGTGTTGAAAGGGAAAAAACTTCAAAAAAATGGCTATATGTTGAGACTGAGAGAGAGGGACACAGAAAAGAGATTACCTAAATAAATTGTCCATCTGAGATTGAAAAAATGAAGGTTATCTACGGCCCCAATTATTGAAATACTTGACCTCACAATTTTAAGTTTGGGATTGGACGAACTATATATTTTCACCCTTCATTATAGTTTCATAAACGTTTCACTTCTACCCCCCATAATTTGAGATTCTCAATTTTATCCCTATGGGTTTAAAAAGTTTCAATTTTGCACTTCCCTACTAAATAACTAACAAAAAGGTTAGCTTTATTTTTCACATTTTGTCTATCTTTTCATTCAAATGCTCATAATTGTAATAATATCTCACCGAAAAAATAAATTAAAGACCTGAAAAATCAAATTAGAAAAGTAGGTAGCTATGTTAATGGGTATGAGTAACCTTGGAACTTTCGAAAAACTAGAAGGGTAGTGTAAGAAATTTCAAACTATAGGAGTAGAAGCGGAACATTAGTGAATCTATAGGAACAAAAAGAAGTTTACCTCTTAAAAATTCAAAAATATGGCTGGATAATCTTTTTTTATTTCCAGCAAATTTCATTTAGAACCAGAAACAAATATCAAACACAAAAGCATTATTGTTATTAAAAAAATCATATTTAAAAAAAAAAACATCAAACAGACAAGGGTATGGCAATCTCATTTGAATAGTATTATAAAGATCATGGCTGGCACCATACATCATCACTAGGCGTGGTATGGGCCTTAGCAGAGGTGATAAATAATCCAAGAATTTTCAAGAGACTAAGGGAAGAAATTAATTCAGTTGTGGTGTCAAACAGACTAGTTAAGGAATCAGATATCCCACATCTCCCATACTTACGAGCAGTTGTGAAAGAAAGGTTAAGACTACACCCTCCAGGACCTGCAGTACTGCTTAGACAATGCATTGAAGATTGCAACATAAATGGCTTTGATTTAAAGGGAAAAACCAGGATCTTAATCAATGTTTACACCATTATGAGGGATCCAAGTAAATGGACAGATCCTGATGAGTTCATTCCAGAGAGGTTCATGGGGAACAGCCCTTCGCAAAATCAAATGCAAATGAAAGGACTAGATTTTGGTTATCTTCCGTTTGGGAGTGGAAGGAGAGGATGCATTGGTGCATCACTTGCTTCAATGGTGGCCCATGCCACTATTAGAGGGTTGGTCCAATGTTTTGAATCGGGAAGTCGAGGGTGGTGAACAGGTTGATCTACAATAAGGGCCAGGATTCTCTCCAGCTATGGCACAACCATTTGTATGCTATCCCATCACTCTCTTTAATCCATTAATTTGAGCTGGATTTGGATCGTCAAACATGCAACCATAATGTGAGAATTAATTACAGGAATGATAAAATAGAAGTACAAAATAAAAGTGGAGGCTCATTGAAGTTTTTTCTGAGCTTTCTTCTCAGGAATTTTCTAGACTATACTTAATGAAAATTATTCTATTTGTAACATAATCTATTCGATGGAGTTATTTTCCAATTGATATAACAATATCATATTGTATTAAGTAAAGTGGATTTACTGATAGAGTTTATGAGTGATCAGTTCGACAAAATTGAAAATTTATCGTAAATTAATTTCTATATATATTGAAAGATAGTCTTTTATACGGAAAATTGAAAATCTCGTTAACATCGAACAAATTAATTTCATTTCTGTAGTTTTATCCGAATGTCCTTCAACTCTGCTGAGCTTCTTTGTCCATAAATAAATAAATTGGTCTGCCCAGACACCACAGATTTTGTAGGGAAATTTACTTTTTTAGAGCTCTGTACTGTAATTTGTTTTATTATGTATTTCTTAATTCCATGGACTTACGATGTTCCGAGCATTGTAAACATCGAACAAGTCACACGTAAAACAATAACAAGTTAACCAACCAGCCAAAAAAGGAGTAAATGACTGCCTAATCAGCTACTATCTATTGATACTTTTATTTGTCCATCAATTTGATTGATCGAGTAGAAGGATTGGGGTACTTGGTAACTGGTCTCATGTTCAAATTTAACACCAAAAGGGAGTTGGATATGTTTGATTGACCATGCAAAGCCAATTTGATATAATAGAACCATAAGTTTCAGTTGCACCAAAGGATTGAATATGGTTCAGTCATTGCTTACAAGCAAATTGACCCAATTAGTTTGAATATGGATGGATTTTAGCTCATGTTCGATGAGAAAATATTACGGCATTTGCCCAGCAGCCAAAAAACAAGTAAATGATTCTGTCCAAAACGAGGCAATGACTTTCCATGGCTTCAAACTTCCATTTCTTGTCCACAAGTCAGTTGCATACTTGATTGAAAATTAAGGATCAATTATATACCTAAGCACGGCAGCATTGCATCAGCTACATATATAAATACTCGGAAATTCCCGCTAGATCTCATCACCAAATTAGCCTTGAACAGAGCTAGAACGAACGGTGCTAAAACTTATCTACCTAGCTATTCTGCTTGCTAAAGAAGGCTAAAACATGGCCATTATTGATGGTTTTCTGTTTTGTTGCTTCATGGTGTCCATTTGGTTCTTTTGCACTTCCCTTCTCAAGTCCCTAAAGAATCACACAAGTTCTGGAACCAAACTTCGACGCCCACCAAGCCCTCCAGCTTTACCAATCATCGGCCACCTCCATTTACTAGGCTCGGTTTTGGGTACTTCCTTGCATAGGCTAGCTCAACGCTATGGTCCATTTATTCAGCTTCGTTTGGGTGCATCAACATGCTATGTTGTTTCTGATGCTGAAATTGCCAAAGAGGTCTTGAAAACCAATGAGATGAATTTTGTTTCCCGCCTGCAATTCGATACCACGGATTGCAACATATATGAGGGATCTGGTTTTATCACTGCCCCCTATAACGCATATTGGCGGTTCATGAAGAAGCTATGCATGACCAGACTTCTCAATACTACACAGATTAATCAGCTTGTGCATATCAGGGAGGATGAGATGAAAAAACTTGCCCAGTCTTTGGTTAATATTTCCAAAGAAGGAGAGCTTTGCGATTTAAGGCAGGCAATAATGACTATGACAAATAATGTGATTTGCAGAATGTCTATGAGCACAAGATGTTTGGGAGACGGTGCTAATAACGAAGCCAGGGAGATTAAGGATTTGGTCCTTCAAGTTTCATTGCTTGGAGGCAAGTTGAGTGCAGGTAATGTCTTGGGTCCATTGGCAAAACTTGACCTGTTTGGATATGGAAGGCAGCTACGGGTAGCACTCGAGAAATTTGATCGGTTGGTAGAAAGGATTATCAAGGAGCATGAAGAGAAGGAGATGAAAGGGACTGAAAGATCAGAAGGAATGGATTTAATGGATATTTTATTAGAAATTTCTCGAGACCCAAATGCAGAAATGAAGTTAACTAGAAAGGAAATCAAGGCTTTCTTCCTAGTAAGTTCCTTCTAACTTATATTAGGCTTTCGTACTTGTAAGTTTCTACTTCTTTTTGCTCAACCACAATCTCTTTAAGAAGAACTGAAACTAGAATGATGTTTGTGCTAACTAAATCCTTTTCTCAGATGATATTTGTTACTCTTTTGCGTTAGTTTGGCATCAAAAGCCACAAATCTTGTTTGTACCCAAGAGCTATCGCTTGGAGATGTTGATAGTGAACATGCATGAAACACAAGGGTCTACGTATGGGGATACTAACCTTTTTTTTTTTTTTCATCACTATTGTGCCAGGACATTATGATGGCTGGCACTGATACATCAGCAATCTCTGTGCAATGGGTCCTTGCAGAGCTCATCAACCATCCAAAAGTTTTCGATAAACTGAGAGATGAAATTAATTCAGTTGTGGGGCCAAACAGGCTAGTCAAAGAATCAGATATCCCAAATCTGCCTTACTTACATGCAGTTGTGAAGGAAACTCTAAGACTGCACCCTCCATCACCTGTAGTTCTTAGAGCAAGCATTGAAGATTGCAAGATTAATGGCTTTGATGTAAAAGCTGATACTAGGATGCTAGTCAATGTCTACACCATCCAGCGAGACCCAAATCTATGGACAGATCCAGAAGAATTCATACCAGAGAGGTTTATGGTAAAACTCAACACGAATTCTTCACAAATGGAAATGAAAGGGCAAAATTTCAATTTTCTTCCTTTTGGGAGTGGACGCCGAGGATGTCCCGGTGCAACACTCGCCTTAGCGGTGGTTGAATCATCTGTTGCAGTCTTGGTCCAATGCTTTGATTGGAAAGCCAAAGATGGAGAAAAGATTGATATGCAGGAGGGTTCAGGATTCAGCATGGGAATGGCAAAATCACTTGTGTGCTATCCCATCACACATTTTAATCCATTCGAGTTGGGGTTAGACATGCCAAAATCAGAATGAATCACAAAAAATGGGTTGCCTGAAACACTATCTATACTGAAATATAACGAAGATCCCAACATATATGAAAGCTCCTAGAAGAAATCTATGAGAGTTCACCCTACGATCAAGAAGTCTATAGTGATGTTCTTTTCTTGTTATATGCCAATAATCATGTCATAAATATTCTTTCTTTTGTAGTCTTTCCCCTTGCTTTTCAACATTAATTGAATTTTATTTTGTAAATTTGTCAACCATGATGATATATATATGAAAAAAAATTTATTGTTGAAGGAATTTTGGATTGTTACTTTTCAAAGAACAGTGTTTGTGATGTTAAATTAGAGTTTCACATTTCTGTCCTAACCATTAGATGAAAATTAATTAAAAGTTACTGCTAACTATTAAATTTGTTATTCCCGGAATTTTTTTTTAAATTATCAACACTCTCTCCCATCAATATTTGTTATTAAATCATAATTAAATATGTTTATATCAAATATCTATTATAAATATAGTAAATCATTTATAGGATTGATTGTTGTTGTAAATATAGTAAGTCAACTAAAGTGCTATCAATTATGGAGCTAGTTGCAGGATTGATTGCTAAAAAATCAATAATAAACTTGATTCTAGGATTTAGATTAATCCTAAACCTGTATATATACATGTTGTACTCATGCATTTTATAATACACAGAAATATCATTTGCCAATCCATCATCCATACAGATACGTGATGCTTTTGGGCCATGCCAACGCAATCTTCATTGTCTAATCCAGGTTAGTATATTAAGTCTAATATTCTATTCCATACACCAATGGCTGCCATTATTGAATGGCATTTCCTAGCTGCTGGGTGCATATTGCAGTCTAGAGGTTACAGTTTGGCACTCCAATAGCAGACCAACAAACATGAAACGTGTCCGGATCCTATACGGGGCCGTCCACATTAGTGGACCAATCATCAAACCATCCAACATCCTCTTGTTGGAGCAATCAGATTTTAGCTGTAACAGTTCAGAGTACTTCCCCACAAATACTCCCATATAAATGTGCACAATCTACAAAAGCTTGCATGAACAGTTCTACACTTGGCTGAATTCTTCTGCACTCCGTTGCCAACAACAAGCATTTTCTCATCTGCAATCTTCTTATTCTTCAGAAATGGCAAAAGTAAGCATCTCCAAGGCCATTATGGTTGTCTATGTGGTGGCTGTCTTCATGGCAGCTACTAATGTATCAGTACAGGCGGAAGCCCCAGCCCCAGCACCATCAACGGACACTGGAGCAGGATTCTCTCTCCCAGTTTCTAGTGCTGTTATTGCAATCTCTCTTGTCATATCATGTAGTTCTCTTCTGAAGCATTGAGCATTGAGTATTTCTATTAAAAGGTGAAGGACAGAGGATGGATATTGTTGTGGTTTGGGTGATTTGTTGGTTTCTTGAGTGGCTGTAGGATTGCATTTGGATTCATTCTTTGCTTTTATTCACTGTTAATTGTAATTTATTCTTCACTAAATCAAGATTATGTTCTACAGCTGGTTTTGACTTTCTCACTTCTCTGTTCTTTCACACTCGAAAAAGTACTTCTTTTACAAACGCTGTATGATATATCCACCATTATATAATCAGCTAACGTTGTGGGATTTCAGCATGCATTTCACAAATCATCCAATCATGTCCTTGTAAAATTGGAAAAGTGTAAATCATCCAATCATAAACTGGTAATATGTATTGCAAGAAGTTGTGACGATGCTGAGTGACTGAGACTTAAGCATAAACAATTGATTGGCATGAAGGTTCCAAACAATTCAAAGCTTGTTCCTTTAAGTCAGGTGGAATTTAGAACTTTTTAAAGGCAAGTGCCCGATGGTTTAAAGATAACTTGGGATCAACTCATGGTAATTATAATAAAGACCAACTACAAGTACTGTGCAATTTTTCTGACTGTGAAATAAGCATTGTTTTTACTTTCGCCAGCTTAACAGTAACAAGTACATGTATAAGCAGGTAATTAACCTGACATCCATGAATTCTTCCTAGCTATCTATACATTCAATTTTCATGTACAAAGTCAAATAGCAGCAGAATCCTACCTTTCAAGATGCGGTCCCTCTGGACTCTTGAATGTCCAATTCATGCTCTGCCACCATGATGCAAGAATCTGCTTCAAGAGACGAAGTTGAGCTCTTGTTCTTCAACAGCAAATCCTTGGGTGGGTTGGGTGGGTTGAGCATGTCTGTTGTACACTGCACATCAGGCAGTATCCCAACTTGATCTATGTCATGAAGTGCAGGCGATAGATACTTTGCAACGGTGACAAATAGAGCTGATCCATCATGCAACTCTGTTACACTCTGCATGAAGAAAATATAAGATTGAGCTCAAGCAACTGAGGACATTGGATTAGACTGATTAAGATGGTGGACAAAGGTTGAAATAAAGCTGCATAAGGTGATGATTGGAAAGATTACAATTAGAACAACAGAAGGGTTTTTTTTCCAGCTTTTGTTTATGTTCTCATTTTTTGCTTAAAAGAATTTCAATTAGCAGATAAAACGATTCAAATCTGTAGCATCGTGCCACTACCATGACCCAATAATATCAAAAAACAATACCTGAATTTTTCCTTTGCCGAAGGTTTTGTGCCCTACAAGAATAGCTCGCCCATTGTCATGCAGTGCTCCAGCTAAGATCTCACTTGCACTTGCACTTCCCTCATTGACCTGTTTCAAGTAATAAAAAGTTTCAACAGTAATCAGTTTTAAGGCATGATGTGAAAATTGTTAGACCAACCAAATGCACTAGAAACTTATTAATTGATTTTTACAAGTACAACAAGTGGGTCATGTGTTATGGCATGTCCATCAACCATGTTAATGGGTAGCGTATTTCCATTTCTATCAATTGTGTTCACAAGAGTCTCATCCCCGTCCAGCCAAATTTGGGCAACATCAAGTCCAGCTTTTACCAGCCCCCCTGTATGATGAACAAAAGGTAAAACAAACAACCCCATTAGTAATCTAAAGGAGGCCAGGGAAATTAACTTTTTTCTAGCTTCAAATGTATGAAAACTAGAAACTTACTGGATTGTTTCGTAGATCCAGTATGTATGATTGAACACCCTGAGTTTCCATGTCCTCTATTGTATTTGCCATATCAATTGCAGCACTCTGTCAAAATGAACAGAAAGATTAAATACATTTAATAACTAATGCAGAGCACAGTGAGAAAATTGATAACAGCTGTGCCAGATATAATCATTAAAAAACAAGTTCTAGCTTGTGTTAGAGGTGCTCTGGAAAATCGCTACCTGAGAAAAGGCTGACAGCTTCACATAACCAGTCTTTGTTAGATGGCCATCTGGTGTTTTATGAGGGATGACAGTGCTAGATATCGGGGAAAGCTTAATGTACTCACGAGGTAGATTGACCTTCAAGAAGGAGGAACATGTTTCGATATCAACTCATTGGATAAATTATTATGAACTTACAGTAGACCAAGCTAATCTCATGTCGTGCTTTTGCATGAGATGATATTTGGGAATGCCTTACATGATGAACAAATTCCAAACCATGCATTAGATAACAAAAGATTCAATACCTCTCTGATACCAGCATCCCTACTTGATTCCATGGCCTGGAAAAAAGAACACTAAATTAAAGCAATTGACAGTTTTCAAGCAAATCAGCTTTTGACTCAAATGCCACTCAAACAAGAAAATATCATGGATTAGTAAATTGTCAAAACAAAATTTTCATTTTTTGCTGGTTCACAAACAGTAAAAGTAACTTTAACTCGACACTTTTTTTCCTCAAGGGATTATTTTTCAACTAACAGATATTCATAAATTAGGATAGACTAAGCCTGTAGTTAGTGCGTGCTGCATGTATAGAGCCTAACTATCTGAGCTCCATACATTAGGATACAGTGAGACTTAACTGACAACTACAATTTAAATAAATCAAGTTCCTTGCTATGCATTTGAATAGATACAGCAGTCAAGGAAAGAGGATAGATGATTACGCTGTGGACTTTTACTTTAACAGATGTTCCAGCAATCCCTCTAAGCTTCTGTGCTGCAGCTTCACTATCAACACCATCAAGCCTCTCCCCTGAAATTGTGTAAAAGAAATTCAATGGTTAAGGACTGGTTCAATTTGATTAGGAATAGTAGGATATGAAAAAAAGGATAGCAGACATTTATAGTCGACTAAAAAGAAAAAATGATTCTCCCTTGACTGATCTTAGAGGATTAGGCTTGGTCATAGTTGTGGTTATCTGATTGTGTAATGCAGTCCCATCCAATTGAATTCAATAAAATTTAGGGCCATAAAGAGAGAAATTAGATATATTAATCAGTAAATTACCATTAATCTCAATCAACTCATCTCCTTCATGTATACCAGCACGAGCAGCTGGGCTACCCTCTACACAAGACAAAACAACCTGCAATGCCAATAAGGAAAACATCAGTCTAGTGACTCTAGTCAAGGAAAAGACTACCACAACATAGAAGGTTGAGCATCTTAGATATCCTGAAATTAAATAACCAGCACTCAATATTTCACAAGTAACTAGCCATGAAAATGACGAAACAATCTTTCAGAAATCACTAACCAAATGGCCTGTCCTTGGTTCAATGTTTATGAAGATCCCAACTCCTTGCAAATTTCCACCACTTCCAATTCTAAAACTTTGGTACTCCTGTAAATGAAAAAAACCAAGCAATTTTAAGCTCAACTGCAATCAAACAACAGAGATGATAATTTATAAACCTAATGCACAACAGTGACAACTAATAAAGCAAAAACAAAAAATAGTAATTTTATAAGACCTTTGGACTGATAATCCGAGTAAAAGGATCCCCAAGAGTAGAAAGCATTCCACTAATCTTCGTATACGCCACATCCGCTGAATTTAGAGGAAACATTTCTACCATTGTTTGTTGCAACTTTAAGTCCCAATCTGCATTTAAAAAAAAAAAAATTGTTACATCTTCAAAACCAAAGATCCCATAAACAACTGAACATGTTCTCGAACAAGATTAACTCATTGACCACGTAACCACTCAAGTTTTCAAATATATATATATATATATATGTTAACCAATAAAACTCATTAAAAAAAAACTCCAAATTTCCTTTCCTTCTCTGCTATTACTTTTCTACTCTTTAAGCGAAGTAAAATGATATTCCGTTAATTAGATTAACTGGATCAGAGTAGAAATATTCAAATACCTTGATGATTAAATGTTGGGTCTATAAATGTTTCTCTAATCAATCCCCAGGCCTCCACAAGTGTTCTTTGCACTGTATTCACCTAAAAAAAAACTTCTTACTCACCAATAACACCAGGAATCACTATTACACTTTAAATGGGTACCAAATGCAAAGCCCACGATCAGGCATCTCTTAACAACAAATTAATAGAAAGAAAAGAACTACCTCGCTAGCGCGGGAAACAGGAAAAGCGACCGTTACTGACTCTGCGAAAGCTGGAGAATCATAACATACTGAAGCCAAAGCTGTAGCAGCGGCAGCAAAGCCAATTACACCTTTTCCGATTGATTTGATGAAATCTTGACCGCTGGAATGTGATTTGGGCTCTGTTTTTTCCACCGGTGTTGGTGATGAACAAACACAAGGCATGGACACATTCCATTTCTTGGTTATAGTACGTGTCTTTAAGCTCGAAAATCGAGGCGAAGAGAGTAGAAATGAAGTGGGCTTTGGGTATTTTGTTGGAATTGGTGAGACTTCAAGATTTGGAAACAGAGAATCCATGGTTTTTTTTTTTTTAACTGTTGTTGCTGTTTCTTTTATGAAGTAGAAGTGAAGGGCTAATTAATTGCTATATTTTTTAAAAAAATGTTTTATTTTTTGTGAATGTTGTTTACAGTTATTTGTTGATTGGATTCTATACGGGTCCACAGGAATCTAGTGACTTGTGGTCATGGGATCTGTTGCGTTGCGTGTTTGAGAATCTGAGTTGGCCAAAAAAAAAAAACGTCAGGAAGGACCACGAACACTCGAGTGAGTTGTCAAAGAAGACAAAAATGGAATAGAGCAAGCAAGGAATTTTCACAACAAAAATCTTAGAAGATACAAAGCAAATAATGGAAATGGTTGCTTGAGGGATTGGGTGATTGTGAATGGAGGAGTGTGTTGCTTTTCTTAGTTGTTATTTGTCAAAATTCAAAATTCATATCATATTGTGAAAATAAAAAACATATATATATATATATCTTTTAGTTGTGACCTAAGATGATTTGTGTTTTACTGGGCATAAATGCGAGCTTGACATCAACATGCAAAAATTGATTTAAGAATATCGAAAATAGAATTGTACATAAATGTTATATTTAGTTAAAATCGAATGCTTTTTATGAAATAAATATATAAAACAGGATAAGATAAGTTATTTAAGGCATAGCCTTTTTTATATTTATGGTACCAAGATGTTTTGTTTTATGCTATACATGTGAAATTCTATGTGTTAATAAGAAATTACACGTTGATTAGAAATTAAAAATAAAATTAAAATATTTATATATAAAATGAATTCATAATTTATTAATTTAAAACTTTGAATTAAAATAGTGTCTAACATAACATTATACATGCAAGTTCATACGACTCACCAGACAAAGATCCCTCAGAAACAACTTCATGAGTCGAGGTTTCCTCGTGATACATCGTCTGAGCCTTCTTGAGGGCAATGTTAATACCCAATCTCATACAGAAAGAGTCCTGGTCGTGGGTAGCGAGAAACCAGAATGCTGTGTGAAAGGCCAGGACTGAAACAAATGGGCTGTTCCTTTGCATTGAAGCATGGTCATACAAGATAATGTGGATGGGCTGAAACAGTGGTCTGCTTCTTTGGGCTTTTCTATTCATCCATCATTTTCCAGAGCATAAATAGGCTTTTCTATATAATCAGCAACGTACGGGGAAAGTGGGCTGGCCTTTTCTTTCACTATTTATATACAGTTTATCCATTTGTTTTGTTAATTGGTATATATTTTCCGTTTTTGACCAAAAATAAAATTGATGAGAACTAGTATTATAATTTTGATAAGGAAGTCAATCTAAATATCCTGATCACCACTCCTTACATTCTCTCACTACTTGCTAAATCTCAAATTCATTTCAGCTTTAAGAAACCATAGTAATGAAAATTAATTTAAAGTTAAAGTTCTAACTTAGAGGCATACTATATTTGTTGAACACCAACGTCCCTCCTTTTTCTCCACAGACAACAGAAGTCTTTTCTTCTACGATGGTAATGAAAATTAGTGAGAGATTTGTTGGGTTATGCTTAAGATTCAGCACATGAGTAACCTTAACATAAGTCTTTTAGAAATCGAATAGGAAAATGATTAATTAAAAAAAAAAGATTAATGAGGAAAAATTTTGAAGCTAAATAGAAAAATGACTGTTGTGAAACTAGAGAGGAAAAGTTTTTTTTTTTTTTTAACTACCACATGCATATAAAAGAAAGAGTTTATATATATATATATATATTTTATGTACAATTACTAAGAGAAAGCAATTGGAGAGGGGGAAAAAAGAAAGTAAGGGTTTTACTTATTCTTTTGACAAATTCTAGCTGAAGAAAGCAAAGACTTTTGGTGCACAAAATATTGAGAATTTCTTTAGCATTGATTTTGGGATACTATAATTATAGAAAATTATAGCATTCAAGACAATAATTTCACACAATATTGAGTTTTACGAAATACAAAGATTTCATAAATTTCAAATTTTTATGGTAAGACGATTTTAGTTAGAGAGCTAACTTGTATTATTGTCAATATTTTTATTTTTCAAGTTCAAAGAGAAACTTGAATTATTATATTACTTTCTTAAATATAGTGGATTATTTTAGAATTGATCCTATACTTTTTTTCGTCTACGATAGAAAAGGTTTTTTCACATAAAATTAGTGTTATTGTTATTTTACTTGTGTTATTGAATGGCTGTGTTATTTTCTTAATTATAATAGATTATTTTAGAATTGATTCCATAACTTTTTTTTTCTATAATAAAAAAAAATTTCATGTAAATTTAGTTTTATTGTGGTTGTACTCGTGTAATTCTCAATTGTTGTGGGTATTTGATAAATCTAGTTTTCATGGAGCAACAAATATCAAGTATGTACATTGTACACACATGTATGTGCATGTCCAATAATGCTACGTTATCCTGCTTTCCATGTGCTTGGACGTCAAAGTCTTGCTGAAGTCTAGGAATGGATTATTTTGACCCCTAGAGATAAATTTTTTAAGTAAACTACACTCCAATTGTCTAGCTGACTCGTCAAAAAGGGAAAGAAAAACTCCATTTTCTGTACCTGTCATTTTTGAATTTTAAGGACAACATTCAAGAATGAGTTATGTTTGATAGTGATTGAGTGAAAGGTCACATTCTCTGTAATTACTTCCACATGGTGACAATGGAGAATGTCATTCTGATGGACTTGCATTATTATACATAGCTCCAAACACAACATGTAAAGAACAAACATTTATGATATGTTGGAACCAAAACTGTCTATTTCAAGTCATGTTTCTTATATTTAGGTTTGAGCATTCAGTTATTTGATTTTAGTTGCAGTTTTGATAAATTTGTTTTATTTTTTTGGTTAAACTAACTCATAAAAACCAAAATCCATCCTGAATTTAAATATTATATCTTTTTTAAGTGAAAAATTATTTTTTAAAGCACCATTTTTGTCATGAATTCAATCTTTAATATACTCATTATTTTATTTTGAAGAAACGTAAGAAATATATCAATTATAAAATAGCATCAAACATCTAACTCAAATATCATAACTCATAAATCGTTAATAGAATTTATTTATAAATAAAAAAAGATAAGAAAAAATAAATAAAGAATTGAACTAATAAGTTCCCTTATGGTTTCTTAATATTAGATTTTATATATATATGCTATTTGATTTTTGATGAAAATCCAATCAAAAATTCTAAAAATCGATCCAACCGAAACCGAATTAAAATTGAATTAAATTCGATTTGGTTTTATAAAAATAAATTAAAAAAAAAAAAGACAAAAACAAAATTAAAAATTTTCAATTCGGTTTGATTTTTTTGTTGACTGAATAATGCTCCTCCTACTTACATAAAGTTCAGATTTTGATTGGATTTACTAAAGTTAGATGAGAGAAAAGATAAGGAGAAAAGGACACATTAATTTACTTAAAGCAAAAGAGAGTTCAAGTGGATGCCCTTTGGTTTTGGCAGCTGGCTGGGAAAGACAGGACTGACTTTCTTATTATTTAGTTGCTCTACGTATAATTGCAAATTCATCAAAGCTCATGAAATGTCAATTGCCATAAGTCTTTACCTAAAAGATACCAAATATATGTGAGGTTTCTCTTTATATATTTTGAAGAGAAAAACAACTTGGTAGATATACAAACCTAATTTTAATCACATCAAAAATTAATTGAATGCTCAGAATTGATAAAAACCAATTCCTGAAAATACTCAAGCATAACAATGACAGGTTGATAAAGAACGATCCCTAAATGGGAGAAGCATGGGGCAAAGTGGTGAAATTTTTGGTAACCTTAAGAAAGTTAACAAAGAGACTGTCTTCTCACCTTCTTTAATTTAATGAGGTAAAAAAAAAAGAGAAAAAGAAGGGAAGTTCTCATGAGATAGTGATGCATGTCAATGTTTATAGGCCCATATGCTTATAAATCTTGATGAAAATAATGGCAGATGATTAGAAGTTTGTAATGGAAGGTGACAAAAATTAGTGCATTCTAAAAAGAAAATCAATACGCTTAATCCTTGTGACGATCGATGGTACTACCAAACTGCTTAATTTAATTTACTAATTCGTCAGCTCCCATAATTAGCAGAAAAAAATAAATAAAATCCACTGACCACAAAAGCATACATTAATTGAGTCAGCTTATTGAATTTTCATTGTTCCCGTTTCTGGTTACAAATCATTTACCTCTTTTATATAAATTCATGGCCACATATAGATGGGATAACTATAACTTACACCGCCTCCTTCAAAAAATAGAAATAAAAATCTTTAACTTAGCCTCTAAAGTATATTAGAATTAATTAAATTCATGTACTATTAAAATAATTAAATAATCCAAATTTAATCACTTTTATTTTAATAATTTTTGTTCTGAATTACTTTTTTTATAATCAAATGTTTTTCGTTTTACCAATCCTTCATTTTCTTTTTATTCTTAAAAAATAAAAAAGAATATGAAATTGACGAAAGAACTAAGTTATAAAACTCAATTCATTAATTAATATATGAATGAAGTAATAATTTTTTCAAACCATAAGAAGTAATTAATTAATTTCGATAAACTATAAGGATTAAATCATAGTTTACTCCCGGACAGGTATATCAGGTTCAATAAATTTGGGCCTGGATTAGATATTTTGTTCTTGCGGGAGCCCATTTGAAAGTCTCCCTCTATCTCACTGTTTATAAGTGTGAAGCCATTGAAATTAAGGAATAAAAAGTCTAATTTGCTGTGGATGGCTATGATAATGATCGATACTGATTAGATGGAAGAATTTTGTAGCATTAGGCCATTATATAGAAAGATGACTTTAGTTATTGACAAAGAAAGACAAAAGTACTGTGAAATTTCATAGCTTTTGGTCGTACAAATTATTGAATTAGAACCAATGAACTTTATAGCTCATTAATAGTCACCTCTTATATGCAAAAAATACCGAATAGTTTTAGATGCGTGGATTAAAAAAATATATATATGT